GGTTACATTACATATTTCAGGTATTTGACTCCTGGGGATCACAGGCAACCTTCTGATTCCCTGACAGGACATGTCTGAATAAGGCTTATTTCAACTGGGTTTGCCCTTAACACAACCACACTAATGTTTTATGTTAGAAATAGCTCCTCACTCCAAAATGGGCTCAAGTTACATTTTAGGGATAAAAGGAGAAACTCAGCATTTCTCGTTCCCCACACCAAATCCCCAAATCAGGCCAGTCTTCCCATATTTCAGGCTGAGAAACCAAAGGCCGTGAAGACACAGCAAATATACTTTCTGGAACTAATATACTCACAATAATCATTATGTAAGTAATTCCAATAAAATGTGTTGTAATAGTCTTGCATGAGTTTTTATGGAGTTAAAAATTGCTATTTAAAACATATACACGCAACTTAGAAGCTGTATGTGACACTGTCTCCTATAAACTAAACATTCCTGAAATACTATGAAATACTTAAAAACGATGTCAGTATTCAATTTATTACCATAAGTTGAATTACATTTTAAAGTGAGTATTATTTTTCTAGGAGCTAATGTTGATCTTTGATCTTGTTTTGTTTGGGCCACATTATGTGGTGGAGAAAGCCTTGGATTGTTTTGATCAGACCTTGCTTGCAGTCCTTATACAGAATGTTGGATTGTTTATCTGTAAACGGAGATAGGAAAATCTAGCTCAAAAGATGGTGCAGCCAGAGAAGGAGATGCAACCCCCTGAAGAATAAATAGTCTGTCTCTAAGAAGAATGGTGATGTGCTGTGACGGAATCCGACCCTCTCACACTGGCTGAGGAGCCTGGGGTGGGGGGGAACGGCTGAAGCCCACACACATGGCAGTCTCTGGGAGCTGGAAAAGGCAAGGAAATGGATCCCCTCCCAGAGTCTCCAGAAGAAACGCAGCCCCGGACATACCTTGATTTTAGCCCAGTGACACTCATTTCAGACCTCTGACCTCCAGAACTTTGAGGTAATCAATTTGTGTTGTCTTAAGTCATTAAAAAAAAAAAAAAAAAAAAAAAAGATTGTTGTGAGGATTTACTATAAAACACAGTGCTTGATATGTAAGAGGTGTCCAGTAACTATGGGTTGTGTTGTAAGGAAAACTGTATTCTGGTTTGTTTAAAGTAAGAAAGACCTCTGAGGTGAAGGTATTCTCCCCAGCTCAACTCTCGCCTTCCGATTGCTAACCCCTGAGCCCCCGTGAGACAGTTACAACCTGGCCTCAGTTCTGCTGTGGAGGGTTGGCAGGGGCCTGCCTTGTGCTTCCGAAAGAACAGCCAAGGGGAGAGCGGTGTCCTCACAAGACCCGAGTGGTGACACCGGGGGCTGTTACCAATAGAACAGAGAAGGTCTGTGCCCTTCAGAGCAGCAACTTCATGTGGGTCATCGGTAGCTGAGGCTGCAAAGGGCAACAGGAATACAGCAAAAAGTACACAAATTGCCTGTCCCTCATCACAGTTGGGATAATATCCTTGGGCCCTGGTGGGGGCGGTGGTCACATGGAAGAAAAGTAAAACCTGACCATAAGGTTGGTGGAATTACACGATCTCTCCATTGAACATCGAAATAACTCATCCCTATCTTTTAGGACAAGATTTATTTGTTCCATTGGGCTGGAAAGAAGTTTGAGGAAATGTCACTGTCTACCCTCCCCTTGTCTTTTCTTTATCAAGAACATCCAAGAAGACCTAGATGGGAAGAGTTAGAGAGACAGTGAGCACAATAGCAAAGGATAAAGTTATAAAGGATAAAGCAACAGCTCTTTGAGATAAGGGAGGCTGTGATATTTTTGCTTGTATTTGTTTTCCCTCTGCTTCCACTTTTCACCGAGCCTGCTTCCCGAAAGCCACAGCTAAAGATCAATGCCAGTAAGTGTTACCTGCTGTCCTGTGTTATTTGGAGTGGTGTCAGGTCACTGAACTTGACATCTACTATGATCATCCGTGCTATACTGAATTATTGGCCCCAATTCTTTGTCCTTCCCTGTACCCACATGTGACTTTGCAGTTCCTGCCACAAAAGCAGAGTGTATTACCCTTCCCCTTGATTTTGGACTTGACCCCATGACTTACTTTGGCAAGGTAGCAGATGTGACACAATTAGGAGCTTAAAAAACGCTTGCGTGGTGAGGCTGGCCTCTTGCACTCTGTTATTGGAGAAGAGTCTTCCACTCTGGGTAGCTTCTCCCTACAGTCTGGGTCCCAGAATGAAAACACACAGCGAAAAGGTCTGAGTTGGCCAGACCCACAGCTTGAATGGAGCTTCTCTGTTGACCCCTGCCTAAACCGCTGGGGATGGAGCATACAGTATAGTGACTATAGTTTACCCTGCTGTGTGGTTTGAAAGTTGCGGAGAGATTAGATCCTGAAGGTTCTCCTCAAAAGGGAAAAAAAAATTCTTTTTCTTTTCTTTTCTTTTTTTTCTTTTCCTTTCCCTTTTCTTTCTTTCTTTCTTTCTTTCTTTCTTTCTTTCTTTCTTTCTTTCTTTCTTTCTTTCT